TTATGCTAACTTCGACTATATTAGCTCATCATATGCTGAAATGATGCTGAGATAAGTAAATATAGTTGTGAAATAAGAAAAAAATACAACCCAACCTGGAGTAACTCCCAACCAGCACCATCTCCAAGATCCAGGAACTTCACAGCATCTAATAGCCGGTCATCTGCTAAACAGTACCTGCCAAAAGGGGTAAAAGGGAAGAAAATAAGCACCTGAGGCAGAAACATCCCAAAACCTGCAAAGAAGGTCTTAACTTTAAAAGTAAGAAAAAATTCAAAAAGTATAATACAAATGTAACATGAGCACACTTTTGTCTTATTCTACATAGACTCAATGAAAAATAAAGACACAGAATCAAAGACAATTAATGTTTAAAAGGTCTTTACCAGTCCATTGATACATTTTAACCCCTGCATTGTTCATCTTTTATATTGTAGTGCAGCAAATCTCCCTAAACATAACTATTATTCCAGCAACAAAGCAGATTAGTAAAACAAGACTTCATTGGACATACAGAAAATGGTAGCTCCATCAGATCAGACTGCAGAACAACTGAGATCACGCTAAAAATATTCAACTGTAAAAAAGGAGCTGTAGATGGGAATTTAAACTCATAATTGATGTGACTCATATAATGCTTGATGAAGTTCAGGTCACAATGGATAAATTATGCTTCATCCTAGTGTAGTCTGTCTACCATTAAATTTACCCTATAAATCATTGTGATTAAGCTTCAGTGAGGCCGGACCACATATGTGTAATTTCAGTAACTCAATTCCATGAAACAAAGCCCTAAACTACAGAAACAAAGATAGTGAGGTATGAAGCCCCTACAAGAGCTAAAGGAAGTTCTTTAAACAAAAGTTGAAGTGTTTATTACTATTATATAGACAAACTAATAATCGTTATGAGCACTTTATGATATCAATGATATCTTACTCTCTTGTTGCTCCAAGATCAAGTTGGAAAGTGCTCTCCAAAAGCCTCTGCAAATTCACAACATAAACAATTATGTCTACAAGACTTGCAAATATCACTATATCTGATGTAGTAGCAACAACAGGGTTAGAAACGAAATATCCTGTTAGCGAATGTCACTATAACTGATGTAGTAGCAACAACAGGGTTAGAAACGAAATATCCTGTTTGTGAATATCACTATAACTAATGTAGTAGCAACAACAGGGTTAGAAAAGAAAAATTATGTTTGGAATCTCAATACTAAACTCATTCTCCCAAGTTTGTGACTAGAAGCCTTTTTTCCCAAAGAGAACTGTTAATGGTAATCAAGGGAGTTGGACCATTTATTTCATTTTTTCTATTGTTACTCAAGAGTTAGTCAAACAGTTAACCTAAGAATCAATGTCAATAGTTTTAAGAGTCAACCTATTTGGGGTTTAGAAAACTGTGTCCCGTAAGTTTTCCAAGTCTTCAACTCTTTAATGTCATTTAGCATTTTGTGGATTCTTTTCAGATTTAAGTATTTGTTCGAAGGCTTGCTGCCTTCGTATCTTCGTCAATAATTTCTCCTCTTCTTTTCTGTATTTTTTATCTCTAATTTCTCTTCATTCCTAGCAGTTTTTCTTCTTATCTCCATTACAAAAATTTGTGGCACCTACAGTACCCCATAATCTTGTGTTGTCCTACATCAATTTGGAAAAGAATGGAGGATGTTGAAGAGCTTGCTGCCTTGATATCTCCATCTATACTTTCTCCTCCTTATTTCTCTCTGTAATGTCTCTGCATTACACCAATCCCTACTCTTCTTCTTCTTTTTTCTCGGGTTGTTCTACCAACTATTAACTTTGTCTATCTACAACCCACCACAAACATAGCAGTATCCACTTTGCGTTTTCCCACAACAATCACTCATACGAGAAAAAGGAAACTATCGACTAAAATCAAAAGAAAAGGTATGGTAACATTATAGCTTACTTGCAAGGAAAGTCCGTCCATTATGCCTGCTTCACAGAATGGAACAAATGCTAAATATGCCAAGAGAAGACCTGCTTCATATCTGCATGGAGATCATAAAAAGATAGCGTAATGAATATGAGGTGAATTCGAACTTCTGAAATGAAGCCAAAGTGCAACAAATTACATGTCATCTGATATTCCAAAGGCTCTTTTTTCCATAGGAGTGAAGGCACCGGCAGTAGATGCTCGTCTCCAAAGTCCCTCCGATAGTAATCCAGGATACCCTTCTAGATTTGAATACCTAGAAAACAATGTGTTTGGATATGCAACTGTTAAGGTACAGATGACCTACTTATATTCAATAAATCCTCATATGCCTTTCTTTAATAAATAGATAATTGTATATGTAAATTGCAGTGAATCATAAATAAATAATGGCATTTTGATTCACAAATAAATTAGATTATACAAACTCATTGGAGTGTTGAGTAAAAAAAAAATGACTCCACGTTTATATCCTTATTTTAAAAATATTATTAATTAACCTTTAAAAATTACTATTTTCCTTTTGATAAATTGAAGAGACTCAACAACAACATTTCCTTCTGCATGCTCCCTTGTTACCTCCTCCTTTGTCCGTTGGTAGAGTAAAAGACAGGACCTCAACAATTAAAATATTCAAAGAATCACTAGGCCAAGGATTGAAATTTGGCCAAAGCACCAAAATTTTGATTAAGCATAGATTACATATACAAAAAATATTACAAAAGCAAATATATTATATGACAGTTAGCATACCCAATGTCTACAGAAAAGGCTAGATCCCGAAGTCGTGGGACCAAGTAAGCAGCATCTCTCTCTGTAATTGTGCTGCCAGCAGTTGAAAAGTTTAAGCAGATTATAGCAGAGAGAAAATTCATAAACTAATTATTTAGATGAAGCACTGTCTTGAACAAAACTGGATATCTCTAAGCAACATACTTCAGAATAACAGAAGCTGGTCCAAGACTCTGGTGCAACCTGTCATGATCATGCATGTAAGCCAGACCTCTCATAATGCCCTGAAGCAGCTTGGTAACAAAATATCTTCTGCGTTTGATTGTTTCCTCTTGCTCAAATTTATTCCAAACTCCCGCTGCACGGTTTCTTGACACTTTTTCACTCATAACTTTAGCATAATCTGCGGCACTAGATTTCCCGTGATTACGAAAAGCAAGCCACTGCACATGATAAATTTCTTCATTCATTCATTGTCGCTACCAAAAGAATTAATAAACACTTTGTATAAGCAAAGTCTTGAGAAATAATTTCACATAACAAACCTGCTCTCCAGTTTTCGTTTCAAACCCACCTACGAGTATTGCAAGATTCTGACAGATGCCATTTGTACTGTTCTGAAAAAAACAAAAAAACAAAAGGACAACAATAAAAAACAGGAAAAGGAAATGCTTTTGGTATTGATATTGATTGTAAGCAATTGGGAAACGTTGCATGCATATGCAATCATTTATAGGGTAATTTAAGTAACAACTTGTATTACTTGAAGGAATAGGTGAGCATTTAGCTCATTAGCAGCCATCATATCCGCCTCATTCCCACCAGCTCGTTGTCCAGGATAAACCTTCATGCTTAAAAATGTTACTGTTCAATAGAAATTATGAGCCTATAAAAGTGAATCAAACTAAAGAGAATGGCATTGATAACAATATTACCTTAAAAACAACCGGAGTCCCTTTCAGTGGACCCTGAGAGACTCTCCCATCATATAGCCTGCAAAAGAACTGCCATGAGTACTATTAGCATCAGAAGGATAATAATTTAGAGATATCTTATTCACAATATAGATTTCCTTTGAGCTAGTTTCCTCAAACTGATAGGACCAGTCATTGTGTGCCTAAGCATACCATACATATATCCTTTAGAATGTACCTGATCTTTACACTGCCTTCTCCTACATCTTGAACTCTCAACCGCCCCAAATCACCCGATGAGTATTCAGTATCTTCGCCCAATGGAGACCCCGAAGAGCTGTTTCAGGCAGAGAAAAGGAGAAAAAATCAATAAATAAAATAAGATCAAATAAAAGAAAGAATAATGTATTAATAATGTATGAACCAATGAATCCAAGTAGAATTTTTTCAATCTACAGTTTTCCATTTAACTTTCTTCTTTTCCCTTTGGTTTCTTATCAAAAGATCAATCAAGCGGACGGTGATTATCTAAATTAATAAGAACATACAGCACTTCTTTTTCCTCCAATTTCTCAGCCACCAAACACAGAAAGCATGTTCAACAACTATCAAATAAAATTTAACTCTAATTAACAACAATACTGATAACTGCCCAATCAACAACCTAACCTTCGTTCCAATTGTTTAATCAGAAAAACAAAAAACCAAAACAGAGACAAATTCATAGGACATTATGACCCCCAAAATCTCATAAAAGCTTCCATCTTTATTAGGAAGTACAACTGCAGCCCTATATAGAAAACTTTTCTTCTTATTTTTTTCCTTTCATTTTCTTATAAAGCAAACAGAAAGTTAAGCAGCGTTGACAAAAGGATACCTGGTGATGTTCATGAAGCCATAGCTCCCAATGAGTCGACCCACCTCGAACGAATCAGAGTTTGTGATCAGACTTGCTTTGCAACAGAACCGAGTCGTCCGAGTTCTGAGTAGTGAGTTGGGTTTGTGAATGTGACGAAGCGGAAAGAGGGAATCAGGTGGTGCGCGGAGCATGGTCGTTTGCTCAGCTTCCTTTCGATCTTTCTTTCAGTGTCCTTCTGAAGAAATGGCGCCAAGTGGTTGTTAGAGAAAGTTCGGGGAGGAGAGGATAAGGGGGTTTTGTTTTTCAGTTTTTTTTTTTTTAATTTTTTTTGGTTTCTAATGTCGCTTGTTCAAATAAAAAAGTTATAAGATTAAATACGTTGACGGGATTTGGTCAAATATTAAATTTTATATTGATAAAATTGAAGTCCCGAGTCCCATTTTGATAATAACATCAAAATTGAAGGGAGCGTAGATATAGATTTTACACTCTTTCTAAG